CTAGCTAGCAGCTAATGGGTCATCCAATTTCCCATTAGCTTGGAGCTAATGCACTGTAAAACCATGTAGCGCTACTGCAGCTAGCTAGCAGCTAATGGGTACTTCAATCACCATAATGCTATGGCTCTACCAACTGCTGCTTACCCAACTGCAGTGGTGTAAAGTACTTAAGTAAAAATACTTTAAAGTACTACTTAAGTCGTTTTTGGGGGTATCTGTACTTCACTTTACTATTTATATTTTTGACAACTTTTACTTTTACTTCACTACATTCCTAAAGAAAATAATGTACTTTTTACTCCATACATTTGACCTGACACCCAAAAGTACTCATTACATTTTGAATGCTTAGCAGGACAGGAAAATGGTCCAATTCACGCACTCAAGACAACACATGGTCATCCCTTCTGCCTCTGATCTGGCGGACTCACTAAACACAAAGGCATCTTTTGTAAATAATGTTGGAGTGTTGGAGTGTGCCCCTGGCTATACATACATTTTAAAAACAAGAAAATGGTGCCGCCTGCTTTGCTTTATAGAAGGAATTTGAAATGATTCATACTTTTACTTTTACAATTTTTTAAAGTTTTTTACTACTTTTATATTTTAGCTATTACATTTTCTTTTGATACTTAAGTATATTTAGAACCAAATATTTTTAGACTTTTACTCAAGCAGTATTTTACTGGGTCTTTTACTTTTACTTGAGTAACTTTCTATTAATGTATCTATACTTTTACTCAAGTATGACAATTGGGTACTTTTTTCCACCACTGTCCAACTGATAGGCTGATTGGGCTAAAGTAGCTAGCTAGCTAACAGCTAATGGGCACTTCAATCCACATATTGCTATTGCTATTGCTCTACTTCCTGTCCGCCTAACTGGCAGGCTGCTTAATGCTGACGTTTGACCATCTTCTAATGCTCAGGTAATGAAGACAGTAAACAGCTAGCGGAAGAGGGCTTAGTGCTAAATGAGGCAGTAAGCCGCTCTAATGCTGCCCTGTCAGCCAGCCTCACCCATCTCTGTAGAAACAACGGCCCGGCTAATCATTAATAAGAGCAGCGATATTAAAATGCAATTAATTCTCATTGCAACTCCGCTTTGTTTTTTGGTTGCTCTCTGATCATATAAACAACGGTCATTCTCTCACTTTTTATCTCATTCATTCTCTATCTATCTTACACTCCATCGCTCCCTCCCCCATATTGTCTGTCCTCAAGGTGGACGGTGTAAAGTTAGGTGTTTTGGTCATCATTGGAAGCTCCTGTTATAGCCATCTGGTTTAATGTGGATGTCATTGACTGTGTGGAGGACCCATGTCACGCCCTGACTCTAGGACTCGTATTTGTTGAGTCAGGGTGTGTATTTTCTGTGTCGTGTTGTGCTATGTTTATTGTCTATGGTTAGATCTAGTATGTATAGATCTATGTTGGCCTGAGTGGTTCCCAATCAGAGGCAGCTGTTGCTCGTTGTCTCTGATTGGGGACCATACTTAGGCAGCCTTTTGGCACCTGTTAGTTGTGGGATCTTGTTCCGTGTTATGGTATGTTTGTGTGCTTCTTGGACTTCACATTTCGTTTGTTGTTTTTGTCGTGTGTTTATTCGGTTAATAAACATGTATGCTTATCACGCTGCGCCTTGGTCCGTCCCGTTCGTCAACGATCGTGACAACCCATCAGCAGGATGGATGAGATGGGTTACATTCACAAGCTGTTTCCCAATTAACAATAGTCGATTCATCAATTATCACAGTATTTCTATGTAAATACCCTTGATTAATGCACGTTAATCAGTGGCTATGTATTGCAGTGCATCATTCCCACAAGTTAACTCAGGGTTAAGAGACTGGCTAGGAGAAGTGAAGCTCTCCATTTTAGCTCGACCAGAGAGATGGGTGTACTTTGACCGACACAACTGGACCCAAAGTCACAGTTTCTCCCCAACACATAGAACCATTCTTCAGCCACAACACCTTTGACAACAGTGGAATTGAGAGTCTCTACACAGATCTTCTCGACCCAACATCACCTCTCAGTCTCAGTGTCGTCTCAGGCCACGGTATCGTTAACCGGGAGGAATCCTGACATGGCTGGGAGTCTAATTGGGCTGAAGCAAAGCATTGTGGGCCGCCTCGGGGAGCAACAGCCAGCCTCCAAGAGAAAGAGAGTTCAGGAGCTATCAGCGGTAGATAGACAGTGCCGCAAGAAGACAGGGCCATGCCCTCATGGGCTGCGGTGCGAGAGCGTCACATTTACTGGCACAAACGCTTCATGACTCCTTGGGGTGAGAGTGAAACCGCTTCCAGGGGGTCGCTGAAGCATGAGTAAATAACGGAGCCAACGGTTGTGGTCAGAGGGGACTGCAGGGGATGTAAGTCTGTGTCACTGAATCAAGGGGTTGGAGGGTCACGTACTGTGTGTGAGATTATAAGGTTTAACCATTGAGACGCTGTCTACTGCTTTGCATGGCAGAGACTCCATGGTTTGAGGCATTTCTGAAGCTCTTTTGTGAGTTTTCATGTATGGATTTTATACTGCACAGGCGATAATGCATTTTATGCTAGACTATCAATGATAACCTTTGAAATGTGATGGATTCATACATTTGTTTAAAGGATTACATAAATATATAATGAGTCATTTTGGTGATCCCAATTTGTTTACACTGCTTAACAAAGCAACTAGAGGTCATACGCATTTTTTTATTTCCTATTTCATCTTTCTTAGGGTCCTTTCAACCTTTAATCTTCATAGTTAGTAGTGTATAGCCTATAGTAGCCCATAGAGATTGCCTGACTCAAAATCCATGCAGGAGGGAATAATAATGAGGATCTAGCAGAACATTGAGGTGGAGATTCAGCAGTACAGCCATGCGTGCCATCGCAGGGAGAGAAACAGCATTGGGCCTGCATCCACTAATTAAAATGGGCTTCAGACAAATCCTCCCTCCTCTTTTCCCTCTCCCTCTTTATTCCCTCATTCTCTCCATTCTCAGCTCATCAGCCCCCCTCTGAGGATGGATGGAGGATGCTGATGCTCAGCACTTCTAGAGGAGAGACAGTGTGTGTGTGTGTGTGTGTGTGTGTGTGTGTGTGTGTGTGTGTGTGTGTGCGCGAGAGAGAGATAGAGATAGAGACAGACAGACAGACAGACAGACAGACAGACAGACAGACAGACAGACAGACAGA